GTAGCCTTGTACTCATAATGCCAAATGATGAAGTTTCTTAGGCTTTCCTGTTATCCATTGAATGTTAAATGTATCTGATACATACATTTTTGAAGGCAAAAACAGTATTAAACAGTATTAAACTGATTACTTGGGATAAGCACAAACCTGTAGTGTAATATTTCTTCTTTTGCTATGATTTCTGATGTATTCCCTGTTTAATAAAATATCAAATGTTGTGTTGGTCTTTTTGATCTTTTTGTCTGTATCCTTTGATATGTGAACCTTTACTTTTTTCTTCTCTCTACTTTTCAGAAGATATAGAACTTGAAAAGGAAAAATTGATATTGGTACAGTTGTGTTGATTGCTAAAGATGAGAAGCCTATATTTGATGAACAGTAAAATTAGCATGATATTTCAACAATTGATATAAAATCATGTAACATCTGTAGCAAAGGAAGGCCTTTTTTCCCCCAGATTTTGGTGCTTCTATACCAAAGCTTGCCTTTACAATCATAAATCAGAGGAAAAGGTTTAGAAGCTGAAAGTAGGCCTACCTACCAATAATAGTGTATTAAGATAAACTAATATGAAATGTGGCTCAATTGAGGCACTAAAGAAAATAAACCCCAAAATGTATTACTTTCTTCAGGCTGTTAACTAGGCTACAAGTTGGCTTTCTGGGTCAGGATAACAAAATAAAGTCTCTACCATGCCTTTCAAGCTTTTCGCCAGCAGATGATAGTATAGCACCGGTACCCTGACCAACTTTTCTGCCCCCACGGCGCAACCTGACTCAACTGGCTTCATGGATTTACAGGAAACGCCCCCAACCCACTGCGATTGGTCAAACGTCTCGCGTATTGTCCAAACCTGCGAGCTCGTTGGCTTTCTCGCCTGTCAGTCAAATGTCCCTCCACAGGTACAGCAGAGCGCGAGACAGCTGGGCCACGTTGACAGTGCTGTAATTTCAGGTGTTTTCTTTTAAGTTGTTTATGTAATAGGTCACTCGGTCAGCTCAGGGGCTCTACAGCTTATTCGTAAGTCTTTTCTCTGCGAGTATTTGTTACTTTACATCAATATGGCGGCGGCTGCTGCCAGAAACGTCGTCTTCGCTAAACAAGGAAGAGTTTGTTTACTACTACAGCAAATGCCCAGAGTTGTAAAGAGGCTAAAAGCCAGAGCAGCAGTTGTTTAGACTTTAAAAAAAATAATTTGTCTTTGCTGAGGGTAAGATGGATCCATCCCTGCTAAAGTTTAATGTTTTCAACTCTGTGCACACGCAGGTAGAATGAGTGTGGGTTTCATAGGAGCAGGCCAGCTGGCCCACGCTCTGGTGAGAGGCTTCACAGCTGCAGGTGAGTTTTGAATCATACTTCTACCATGTATGTATGTATGTATAATTCAGATTCGACTTGTGTTGTTGATGTATGTTGATTGCAATCAGACACTGAACTTATTTCTGGGCATTTTTCCCCTTTTTAAGGCGTGATTGCCACCCACAGAATCACAGCCAGCTCCCCAGACACAGATCTCCCCACCGTACAGGGACTGCGGGTGGGTAGACAATTAGGGATATCAATGCTTTATTCCATCTGTTTAATTCTGAATACTTTTTTTTTTTTTTGGTTTGTGGGTTTTCTGGGTACATAACATTGCTTTGGTTGAATGTAACAAATTCCTATGTACTCCTGCCCAGTGAAAGTGCTAAAAAAAAATCTGTCATCTGTACAGAAATTGGGGGTCAATTTCACCACCAGCAACAAAGAGACAGTGGACAAAAGTGATGTTCTCTTCCTGGCTGTGAAGCCACACATCATCCCTTTTGTACTGGATGAGATTGGACCAAATATTGAAGATCGTCACCTCATTGTGTCTTGTGCTGCAGGTGTCACCATCAGCTCTATAGAGAAGGCAAGTCATAGGATTGTTTTCTCTCAGTGCTTACAATATCTTGGGTAGGACCTCAGGTATATAAAGCACATTAAAAGCACCAGTAATGTGAATGTGATGTCCAGTAGGTAGATGGAGTCATTGTTTGGTTTCTACAAAAGTCAAATAACACTAAGAAACACTTCAGTTTAATGCTACCTTGATTATTTACACTATAATATTGCACAGTTTAATGATAGGCAAATCCCAGATTGCTTTTAGTTTTATATGACATGTTAATCATCAATCATGTCTCTAGATAATGGCTAAAGCATATGAAATTCTGGCTTTATTCATTTCAACACGAGGCTCTCACTGTATTTCTGTGCTCTGATCTCAGCAGACCCTTAGGCAAAACAGTCACATGTTGTAACATGACACTGGGTAGCAGCTTGGACTTGAAAACACCCTTTCATTTCCATTTAAGGTTAAGATATGTTGTCTTAAAAAATATTATAATAAGTGTCAGACAAAAGCAAATGAAAGCTAATCTACAAAACTTTGATCTGTGTTATTAAAGTTAAAATCTATAAAGTATCCTTTCTAACTTTCTTTTATTTCAGGACAGTTCATTCAGTACATTGTTATTCCTTACAGAAGCTGCGCCAGTATCGCACTGCTCCAAAGGTAATGCGTTGCATGACCAACACTCCAGTGGTGGTGCGCGAGGGGGCCACTGTGTACGCCACAGGCACCCATGCAGAAGTGGAGGACGGAAAGCTACTGGAGCAGCTGATGGCCAGTGTAGGATACTGCACAGAGGTGGAAGAGGACCTGATTGATGCTGTCACTGGCCTCAGCGGCAGCGGCCCGGCTTACGTGAGTCTTTTATATATAAAGTTGATTTTGTTTCACAGTTTTGCCTTACTTGTAGCAATGGTGAAAAAAATGTGTCTTTTGAATTGTTGTCCCTCATTTCATCATCCTAACAAGTATGACTGTGGCCTTGCAGGCGTTTACAGCTGTAGATGCTCTCGCTGATGGTGGAGTAAAAATGGGCCTGCCCAGGAGACTGGCTGTACGCCTCGGAGCCCAGGCCCTGCTGGTAATACCTTTTTATTTTTTTAACAGATTTATGTGTTGCAAGCATGTGCTTTCTTGGTTGTCTTGTGGCGTTATATATCCAGTGTGCGACATTTAAGAGCAACTATTGGCATGAAGTGGAAACGGTATGTAATATTTATGTTTTAATTAGTGTAAAATCACCTGAATATAGGAATTGTTGTGTTTACGGTGAATGAGCCATTTTTATCAACAGATGCTGCTGGTCGCCTTCCGTGGCCTCCTCTATGTTGAACCGCCATGTTTCTACAGTAGCCCAGAATGAACATACCAAACACTGGCTGTAGATACAACAGGGCCTTTTACGTTGTTTGCAAGTTTTGCAGCCACTGTAGTTTCTCAGAAACACCTCAGAGCCCGTTCACATTCCCATGTCAATGAAGGTTTTCAGGCTTTACTGTGTTGGGTTTTTTAAATCAGTCTTATCTGCTTTATCTTTGCCCATTATAACACTGTCACAGGAAAATATAAACAGTGCTGTCCTTGCTGTCCTTGTAAAAAATCTATAAATCCAGATAGAAGTTTGCCAGGTGTGAGCTGCAATCTGTCTTGGTTGGTTCTAGACACTGAATATACACAATCTCGATAAAAGGTACAAGTTGCATAATGATCTAGTCAATTCTGTGGTAGTCTTACATGAATCTCCATTTGTGTTTCTTTAAAGGGGGCTGCTCGAATGCTGCTAGACTCAGAACAACACCCTGGGCAGCTCAAGGACAATGTGTGTTCACCAGGGGGTGCCACCATCCACGCCCTGCATGTCATGGAGAGCGGCGGCTTTCGCAGCCTCCTGATCAACGCCGTGGAAGCCTCCTGTGTTAGGACTAGGTGAGTTGTTAAGAAAAGTGTTTGACAAACAAACTAACAAATCATAAATCCTGTCATTTGGATACACAAGAAATGCTTTTAAGTTAATTGTCATACTCAATGGACCAAAGAGTGATATATATATTTTGAGATTTATAACTTGGACAGTAGATGGAGCTATATGCAAATGATAGTTACAATGAGAGTTTTGTCCTTCTCTGGTTGCTAATCAACCAACGATACGATTATTAGGAGGTTATGTTGTGCTAAATATGTGTATTTTTTTTAATTTTATGTTGTAAATGTCTCTATGTTCCTGTCCTTCACTAAAAAGGGAACTTCAATTTTTGGCCGACCAAGAGAAAATCTCCCCAGCTGCCATAAAGAAGACAACTCTGGACAAAGTGTTGCAGCAGCCAGGAGTGACTGCAGAGGGTGTTGGAGTCAAACCTCGTGGGATCAGTATGTTCAGCAGCCCAAGGACTAAAAAGAAGTGATCATTTTTATTTTTGTAACTCTTGCAAACAGCACATTTTAACGATAACCTGTCCCATTAGTGAAGATGCAGTACATGCTGTAAATAAACCATTACTACTGGCGGATCGGTGTTGAAACATAAACTAATCTAGTGGATTACTTTCTCAGGGGGGAGAAAAAAAGTTGTAATGATACTGTGTAAACTGTGAGCAATATATATTTTTTGCAATAAAATGTAATTCCTTTGTGAGACTTAATGTTTTATTTGTCTAATTGGTTGTCTCCCTATTTAAGGTTTGACTCCTGTGTTATCACTTCCAGTCAGTTAGTTGTATAGAATAATAATTACAATATCTGTGGTTGATATGGCTTTGTATGTATTTTCTGATGGTAGTTTACAGTTAACAATACTGTTCAGGTGGTATGCAGTAAAGTGGAAAGCTCTACAACATGATATTACAGGTCAACTTGTATTATATGCAATTAAAAAGTATATTTTCTTTACATATTTGATTACTTAAAACGTTTTTAAAATATGCTAAATACTACATGTTATGATGCTCTGAAATTGACCTTATCAAAAAACCTTTTTAAATATTGAAAACACATTAGATTTATTTGTGTACGCTTGCCACGCACTTCACTTTTTCCAGTCGCCTAACAGTGTAACAATAGGTGGTATATTTGTGCTTAAAATGTTTGTTTCCTTGCGAGGAAGAAGATCCTTCATGAATGAAGGCACGTGACCAAACACGATGACGTCTGGCTTCGATACAAGAGAAAGGAATCAACAAGGAGAGCACGAGCTGGCATTTGGAAGCGCTATCGCTTCTGTCAGTGAAACCGACATTTAACTGAGCCTCTAATGTTTGCTCACCGTCGTGACGGTAGAAGAAGAGGAGCTTGACAGCAGCAGCTTCGGAGAGCGTCATTTTTAAGTCAGGTGGGTCTGTAAACCAAACAGAGTCGGTGTTGTTATGCTGAGTGTGCATGCCTTCGCCTCGCCGCTGACAAGCTGGCCGCGGCTAGCTCCGTGGGCTAGCATACCTAGCCTCGCAACACCGACCCTCGTCAAGGTAGCCTGACGTACATCAGACGTGGGCTTTCAAACTAAGAGTGTCCGCATTCACTCGACCGGTAAAACACACGCGTCCCCGCGAGTGATGGGTTTATTTTGAAAAGGATGTACCGGAAATGCTTGTGTAGTCGTTGGGAACCGACGACGCTCGAGCTCCTACTATGCTGAGATGGCAGCTAATCTTTTGTACGCGCTCGTGAGCTCCGATTAAAAAAAAAAAAAAAAAAAAAAACAAACAAAAAAAATGTCATTCAGATTTTGGGGTTGACGTCGCGAGGCAGCGAGCCGCTTCGCGCCTAAACGGCGATTTCCTCCCTCAGGTTGAGGAATCGCTCGTGGCGCTGTAATGCTACAGTTATAGTAGGAAGGCTGAGCACGGGGATTTCCTCGCCTGCTTGTTTTGTAGGCGGGGAGTTGTTTGCCACTTTCACAAGCAGGCGTTGCGAGGTTGGAGACAAGAGTCGTGGAATGTCAGAACTGTGTAACTAGGTTACCTTTGTGATCAATAGTTTGGCCGCGGCGTCCACTGTATCGCAGCGCTTCTGTGGTGGTTTGTCAACTCATGCGCTTCTTTGCTGTTCAAACCTGCTGCTTCATCACCTCGTTGTGAAAAAAAAAAAAAAAAAAGAAGGAGCAAGAGCGAGCCGAGGCAGCGGTTTAGCGAGATCAGGTTGGTTTTTTCATTATTTTTCCCCTCATGACATTTCTGTCAAACATGAATGTGATGGTTAAAATCGGAGCAATGTGTGGTGCTTTGTGTGCGGCTTTAAAATGCAATGCGTTGATTTAATCTGTTAGGAAAATGCTTCCAGTAACCATCGTTTCGTATTGAATTGGTTCACCTGAAGTGACAATTCATTTAACCACTGGTTAAATTGTAACAATGGGAGAGCTACACAAAACCCCGCCGTCCTTGGCTTTTTATAATACCAGACAGTTAACCACAGTATTATTTTATCATCAGAGCCAATAAACAAGTAGCGGTATTTTTTTTTATCGTGCTGAATCATCACAATGATGTATTTAGACGTTCTCAGAATCCACCCCGAAATATGGCACCACCGGACAAAGGTCTGCTCGGTGGATAAGGGTCGATGTTTATCACCAAGCCGCCGTTATTAAAGAGATGGATCGAAATGGTGCTGATCTGTCGTGCAAGTCGGTCATCAAACCATGAGCATCAAGTGATGACCATCATGCATTTATCAATAGCCTCATCTACATTCAGCAGAGAATGTGCATTTTATTGCAGTGCTGTCATGATGTACATCAACAAACAGGGTGTGAGTACATTTAGACTAAGTGCTTAAGTGTCAAGTGCGATGTCAAATCCATTTTAAAAATGCATGATAAGCAATATATTATGCCTGTGTTGTTATAATGGAGTTCTGCAATGAGTGGCTGTTTAAATTGGGTCATGTGTAATTATGGGATGTATGGGAAGTTGAAAACAACACATAATTTAGGTAGTATTTGAAATGAAATGCTGCTGTAGGAAATAGGTATTTTGGTGTGTGTGGTGTGCTGTAAATGCCTTATTTCTTGTTATTGAATGATATGCTAAATACTATAGAGTACCAGCTTGCTTGTGGCATTATTTAATGCAGTATAACACTTCATTTCTTTTATTTTGGGTTGGCAGATGCTCTTGTTTCCCTGTGTGTGACATGATGAAATTTGCTGCCTATTAGAGTGCACGCTTATGGAGGGAAGGTAATGAATTATCCATGGAGAATCTCTGTGCAATTTGAAAAGTCACCTTGGAAACTGTTGAGCATATATAGGCAGGGCTAAACAGATAGAAGTTGCCCATTCTTGCTCAGATATCCAACTTATTTCATCATCTCTGTTCATGCGAGCAGGGCATTGAAGTGTGTTTAGCAGACAGGCCAGCCCTACATCAGAAGCTCGGCTTTGCAATAAAGCGTAATGCCCATCTCTGCCTTTCTCTGCAGGTAACCAGAACAGATGAGGGCCCATATAAGAGCCCGATGGGGATGGCAATTGTGTGTGGATGGAGGCAGGGAGTGGTGGGGATCAGCTCTGAGATTTATAGCCTCTTGCATTGAGGTAGCGAAGATAAAATAAGGCTGGGTACCACAGAGGTGAACCGAGTGCACAACTCATACCCAGTGGCGTTGCTCAGAATGGGCAGGCGGTGGAGGGGAGAGGAGGATATTTGAGGTTGATGAAACACGAGGCAAGACTTTACACAGCATAGAGCATAGTCTGGCCACCAACACCTCTGTATGGCCAACACAGATGTGCCCTGGGAGTAGTTACGCCTATTCAGGACAATTAATAGCCTCCAGAAAGGAACACAAATGTGGGATTTGTCCACAAAAGTGCTGCTTAAGCTGCACGGGGAAATGGGAATGCCTGGAAGGAAGGGAGAAAAAGATCAATATAGTTTTTTTCCCCCCTTTTTTTTTGCAATAGGGAGGGAATGTTGGTGATGAAACCTCTTGCAAGTGTAGTGCGGATTATGATTGCTTAGCATTGCGATATGCCCGCTCCACTTCTCAAAGTAATACTTTCATCCAGACAGAGTAGCAAGTGTGTTTGATGAATTTCTGTTTGGAACTTGAGTTAGACTTGGCATGTTCATTACCGCTCTCCGTGTGTTTATAATTTAGATAAGCCAATGTTGGACAGAACATGGAGAGCATAAGCACCAGAGCCGTGCACCGGCTGCTGTTTTTCATGTAACCTACTTTTATCTCGGCTGATTAATGTTTGAGACACATCAGCGTTGAACTGACATTAAAAACAAGTGATTTAACCGTACCTATTCTTGTTCAAGAAGCTATGTAAAAATGATACCAGTGAACGACACAGGGAAGACAAAAACAGTTTCCAGGCATTTTTGAGAATTTTAGGAGACAAAATTCTCCCTATGTTCTGATATATTCTGGATATGTATAAACAATTTTAAGGAGGTTAAAGATAGTGAGACCTTGTTCTAAGATAAGCAGTGTGTAACCCACATTGTAAAAGGAGCTCAGGCAGATCATTAAACTGACACTAGTACTGCCTGTATTATTTCTGGACATAAGTAACAGATTCTTTGGAAATGAGTGTGGGTTTCCCAAATAAATGCCTACTTTATTTGTACTCTACCTGATTAAATTAAGCTATGCAGCAGGATGCAGCATTTATATATTTTTGTTTTTATCACTTGCTTTGTCCAGCCAGTTTAATTTACAAAATGCTAACAATCAAATTTTATAAATATGAGGTATTGATTTATATTTTTAAAAATCCTAATTTACAAAAGCAAAGTGACACAAATAAAAGATATAAAAGGGTATTTGTTTGGTAATTATTCAGTTATGTGTTATTTAGCTGTGGTACACAGTGAGCAGAAAGAAGGAGAGTATTTCAGCTCATCTATGGATGAACACACTGGGTGCTGTGGGGATCAAACTTGTGACCTTACCCTTTCAAAAAAATGTTTTAAACCATTAGACCATTTAACCATATTTTTTTTTTCCTTCTACATTCTTTGATCAAATTTGTAATGGAGGATGGTTACATAGAGAACGCCACAGATTGCATTAATCAGTAGAGGTTGAGTTAAAATTCTTACTGAACGCATTGTTATTAATTCAGGCTGTATTCTCCTCTGACGTAATTGGGTTTTTTTTTTTTTGGACAACCACATGAAGTGTGAGGCTCCATCAAATATCCTGTAGGCAGACATCATCAATCACTTGGCATAATTTGAACTGAGCGCTGGCAGTGTTATTAATAGAAATTAGCATCTTTGTTACTTTCAGGTAATAACTGACTGCACTTGAATCAAAGCACTCCACAGGAAAAGTAAGATGATACATTTGTTTTCTTTAGTTTTTTTTGTTTTTGTTTTTAATTCAGTGATGCTGCTGAGCTCTGTTTGTTTGATGGCCTTTTCACAGAATGGTGTTTTAATTGAAGATAAATCATAGCTGTGCAGTGATACCAATCAAAGACGTGGATTAATTCAGTATTAATTTACTTTCACTAGCATTAAAATGTGTTGAACTGCTCTAGTTTAGCCTTTTGTGCTGCAAATGCTGTGTTGTAGCTGTGGGGTCAATGCGATATGCTTTTAATATGTATGCAACCAGTGTAGTAAAGCTCCTGATATTTTGCCGTGTGTGGGTTGCCTGCAACCCATACTTCCTCTGCCAGTGCAAGGCCGAAGTATCAAGAGCTATTCTCTTCCTGTTTAATCAAGTCCTCCAGGCAGATGCTGTGGAAGGCCAGTGAAGTCTCTTCTCCTGTCCAATTGCTCTTATAACAGAGAAGCTGTGAAAGTAAACAGCAGCTACTGAGCTTGGAGATAGATTCTGTATGTATGGAATAGATTGGTAAATGCAAACCGGTCTAACCCGAGTCCCTTTAAATAAGCTTCACATTATCAGTGATTTCAGAAAATACAAAATCACTTGAGGGCTGTGATTCATGTTTTCACTTTAGACCACATGAACTGGATGCAAATTCCAGACATGAATGTACCACATGCTCCTCTGCATGGTATAACCTACTAGGTTCCATATGGGACTTTGAGTGCCAACGTTTATTATAGCACATCATGTTATGGTGTCTATTTTCACATTTTGACAAATGATCAGTGTTCAGTCCTGCATATCCAACTGTACGAAAACTATGATTATCAAATGTGGAATATTGTGCACCAGGAAGCTACGTGAAGTTACAGAATATCTACAGATATGTATCTTTTATCTCTTTATTGTCTGGGAAAAGTAGAACAGAATTAATTTGTTTGACTAGATAATTGTTAGCCTAAAACCTTAATCCTGAAAGTGCTTGCTCGTGGTGGGAACTGTTGGGTCTCTGTAAATAATTTTATAAGGAGTACG